ATTAGCTCAGTACTTTTTCTAAGTTATCATTATCTAATTTTTAATTCTTAGAGTATTAGAGAAGCGTACAATTATCATACCATCGAATTTGTTATATGAAGCACATAGTAATTTGCATTTAAAAAGAATGTTAAATTTTGTTCATTCATTTTCAGTGCTTGTTCCACATAAAAAACTTCTGTAGCTTGATCTAGAACTTGCAGAAATACGATATTGATAATTTGTTAACGAATCAGACATCTAAACTGAGTTGCAGTAGACGAAGTATATTAAGAGCATTAAGCGATGGCAATAATACTATTATTTAAAAACTCTAAAATCAAGAAAATAATCTAGTGTTAAGTACCACAAGAAACTTTGCCGGAAGTTATTAGTGGGAATGATTATTCGGGAACGAAACACACGAAGGATATATTTATTACTTAGAAAAGAATAATTTGTCATCTTTTATAAAATCTAAATAATAAAAATGTATGTTAATGTCTGAATAATTTGATTTAATAAATGTTTCTTGATGTTTTCAGAATGAGCTATTGTTTTTACTTATTTTCTTTCCATGTCTATTTTAAGATTATGCTCCCAGAGATATAATAATCGCAATAAGGTAAATTAATCGTATTATTCGTGATAGATACATTAATTATACAAATCCTATAGAAGGATGTGTTAATCATACTAATCGTAGTAAAATAAATTATACTCGGTAAGCCCCTAATGAAAGGAGAATTTGCAGTGGCATAAAATGTGGCACATTTTCACGGTAATAGTATTGCAATTCGTGCTGTAGATATTTCATACTTATTTGCATTATTTTACTTTAGCCTACGCTCAATTTGTTTGCTTCCAATTTTTGTCGCATCAATTTTTATCCCAATATTTCAAATGCAACTTTATACGTATATTGACGTCACTAAAAACAATCTCATCAACTATTAATTTCTTACGATCAATCAATCCATCATTAATTTCTTACAATTATATTGTCAAAGAAAATGAAACAAATTTTTCGCAAAAATAGGTATCGTTATTTTTTTCAAAATTTCATCTCATAAATTATCCCATAAAAAATTTCATATCATGAAAAAAATTATTCTCATAAAAAATTTCATCTATAATAAATCTTATTAAAAAAGAAAAATTATTTTTAAAAATTTCATCTCATGAATTATCCATGTCTGAGTAAGAATTTAAAATGATGCTGCCTGCGTATATTGATAGAAAATCAGTAAAGCTTTGCATTTAACTACTAGTTTATTTTAATACTTCAATTTGCTTGATTCATCAATTAATTCATCGATTTCTATCTTCACAACTGTTGCTGTTCGATTTTGAATCTATTTATATTAATAAAGTAGGATGGAGGGGAGAGATGGGATGTTTCATGATTGCTTTAACTTATCATCATTTGATATCAATGAGTTTTATCATTTAAGTGAGTAAATAATAATTTACTAAATAGTAAGGAGCATCTCAGTGAACTAACTATTCCTCTTTAATTGATTAAAATTATTATTAAACATTTGTTTTTATAGCATATTTTGAATTTCATCGCTCAAAAATAATTTACCGTCTTCGACACTTTATTTCTATGCTTACGTTATAATATAAATATGATAAACTCTGATCGTATAGAGCTGCTGCTTTCCATTAACTCCTCAATTATTCCTTTCCTATTTGTGTATTATTACGAAACTCAAAAATATATTGATTTCTTATAGATCAAAGATTTTTTTTTTTACGAGAAATAAACAACATGAGTTATATATTTTATTATTAATTCCACGTGTTCGGTCTATCCTATCTTAACATAACGAGATGAGAATTAGAATGGGAGAAGTTGGACAATCTATCATAAATCATTCCACTGTCATTATTCCATTTCTTATCATTTTCATATAATTGATTTCTTTGAAGCTTCGTAAGTTACGTTATCTGGAACTAATATACTGGAAACAGTTTTCAATGATAAGAAACACTTTTAATTTTATAAAAATGCTAGGAATTTGGATGATCAAACGTTTTGAGATGTTTTATTAATAAATTAATTCAGCTAGAAATAACGAATGATTTTTGTCATCAAAATGGATTTATAGGAAGTGAATTTCAAAATTTCTTAAAAGCTACTGAAGAAATTGTTTAACTAAATTATTTATGATGTAATGATTTCAGTTCTTTAAATTAATGATTCTTTTACTAAATTTTTTGGAAAGCAAAAGCGATTTCATGATATTAATTGATGCAGTGCTTAGAGGCAGTGTATTAAGATGATATATAATGCTGTAAATCCTTATTTACTTCAAAGTAAAATAATACATTAAAAAGATATATTGGATTTCTGGTATCTATGCGTAAAACTTCAAAACGTTTGAATGATTTTTTCTTGTTTATTTTGCAGTATTGATGCGATTTCGGATTTTAAGTAATTTCGATTTCACAAAATTCATTCATGTATTACTAACAATGTAGAAAGAGTCATTTTCATACAGAATATGATTTACAAAAATTTAAAAAACAACTTATGAATATAGCTATCATTGTTTTCTTCCTTTGCTTTAAAACGTCGATGCTTCATGGGATGTTACAATTTTTCCATCTTCTACTGGACGAAACGTCAACGAACAGAACAGAATTATTATCCTTCCTGTATGTCAAAGTATTTGAAATCTCAATTCCCTATTCATAAATTTGTGTTTCTGTCTATTCTCACCTGTGATATATGCTTGTACAGACGAGTCGAGAATAATATTTCGGGTATTATTGCAATAACACAAGACAAATTTGTTGTCAATATTCGTTGTATTTCATCTTTCAAGTTCAAAACATATTTTCATCTTCCTTTTATTGCCTCCTTTTCACATCACTCTCTCTCCCTTAAGAAACTAATTCTCCATCGATAACATACGAATTTCTCTTCCCGATCTTTTACACTCTCAATAATGATTTATCACTTTCACATGTATTGTCACCATGATGCCAAAAATGTGTCCCTTTTGAAATTAAGCAATTTGAGCAACGCACCGCGACGATACATTATATTGCCAATGATATGATCCGAAGCACAACTCGTTTCCTTTCAAATGAAATATATCAAACATATTACGAGTTCCAAACATACCAATTACATTCGAAGCTATTAGTTATTACATTGAATGTACAGGTTTTTTTAAATTTTCACGAATTTTCACGAAATTTTCACGTACATATCTTCAGTGCTGTTATCCTTAATTATCCTTAATTTTCAACCATATCTTTAAACATATGTCAGAATTTTTTAACGTAGTATTTCATTTGATGCCTTTCTCTTCATATGTTCGACCCGAACTCCAAATCAGTAATTCCTATCCTATCTTTTTAACCCATAAATGATCAGTAGTTTCAAATTAATTAAAATTTCGAAAATATTCATTTTCCAAGAAATATAGTTTCCGTAATTTTCTCTCTACGAGACAAATTAACATTGTATGATCTGTCGAGTCTCAACTTTTTCAAAACTAGACCAAAAGCAATGTAAACGAAAGAAAAGTTCACTATTCGCAATTATTGCACTTATGAATCGTTAATAACGAAGAATGTACTGTGATTTTAACTATAGTTGTCATCTCTTCCATAAAGGGGACACAAAATCCGACTCCTACCCGTTTTTAGTGCCGATTCTATTGTCATCCTTCTTTCAATCATCCCACTGTTGTAGTCAACATAAAATGAAAAGTATTTCCTCTTAAATCCATATTTCCACTCTCATTCTTTCATTAGCAATTTGACAAACCTAGAAATCTCTAGGTACTTTTAGCTAGAACGATCTTTTAAGGACTGGCTCTCTTAGTATACACGGAAATCTATTCGTTATTTTTCCCATTCTATTCGTGTAATGACATTCTTGCAGCGGAATGGATTGCATTGCAGAAAAAAATAAGAATGCCTGGCTTGTCAGTATTTTTAAACCGCAAATTTATTCATTTCATAATTGAAATAATGGTTTTGTCAAGAGGATGCCGTGCCGGCCTATATCAATGCTATATCCTCTAAATTAGCAATATGTTACTCCAAATGAATTTCATTTTTAACTAATTAATCTATAATTTTCATCTAAAGAAACTTTTTATGAAATAGGGAATGCTACTTCCTATTAGAAAATAGAACACTGTATTAATTACAAAAATATAGAAAAAATAGATGAAGCAAGAGAAAATAGATGTCTTTAATTTTTAAAATTTTTCAATCTTAATGACACAACATCCTCCGTTAATTGTTGTTTGATGACCAATTTGTTATCTTATTTTAATGTTTCCTACGGTTTTAGAATTGTGCGAACGATAATTTATGGAAGTTGTATTCTCACAGGTAGTAGTGCTTGCGGTAATTGTCTAAACTTTCGTGCTAAAATAGAAGCTAAATGTTTAATGCACACTTTTGAGTATATATCATACTTATAGACAAAAAGTATTATTTACTTGCTATCAAAACTTCCATTGATTTCTATTTTTGAACTTTAGTATTATTTCAAATTAAACTTGCATTTAAGAAAATGAGAAATAACTGATGTTGGAAAAGATTTGTTGGATAATGTAGTATTAAATCTATTTCTAATACTGGCATTGTTTACATAGTTATGAAGTTGCAATTTACCACTTTGGAAGGAAAGACGACGCGAAATATTTTCATGTTTTGTTGTTTATTTTTGAAAGTTCTGTGCAACTCAATCTATTTCACATTTTGTAAGATACTAATAACTAGAGTTCTCTCCCTTTCTCTTCTTCTCTCTCATATCATTCTGCTCATATGACAGGTATTTAAGATAACTACGAACCAGTATAAACTATCCGACCTAGTATCTCTCCCAACTTACAGAGTAAGTCCATGAAGTCTGGTGTCTTCGGACCGTCCACGAATCTGAATTACTCCCAACTGATCTGATTAAATGAAATTATCATTTTTGATGATCCGAAGAGCAACTTATCTCGTAATGGTTTCAAAGATGCTGTAAAATCAATGAACAGGTGTTAAAGGTCACCATGAATTTCCGGTCCAAGAAATATTGCATTGCTAGACATCGGAGTTTCACGGCCTGTTGTGAAAATGGGCATTTCTTGAGTTTCGTGGATTCTCTGTAAACTGTTGGGCATACTTCGACGAGCTGGAGTGTCGACTCGTATAGTTTTCTTTGATACTTGAGTTTTTGAGTTAAATATTTCGAGATTTGGTAGATCTCGCATTGCATTCACCATGCAAAAAAACAACACTTCCTGCAGATTAACTCTTCTGGTCTTGTACTCGACAAGCTTTCGACTTCTAAAAAATTTTGTCTGAAAACTATTGGTTATAATCTGTAAGTGCTGTTTTATTGCTAAGCGTTCTTTAGTTTCATTTGTAAGTTTGGGATGTAGCATTCTTGAATTGTTCTATCTTTAAGCTCGCAATTATTTCAAATATTTGGTGGTATTGTTAATGATTATTTCGTAATTATTATCGATCTAAAGCAAGACGTTCATCTCTTATCATTAACTATTACCGCTCAATACTTAAATCAATGAAATTTTGCATTACTTACTCGTAACTGCATCTATCTCGGTTTATCTTGTAGGTTATGCAAAAACTTAATCGTGTTAAGCTAAGGATATTTGTGTTTCTGTTAAACAAGCATGAAATGATATATCAATGAGCGATGAAGTGGTTTATCTTTTCCTTGAAAACCCATTGATCATTTTTAGAATGATATTTTCACTTTTCTTGAAAACATAAAGATTTATGAATGTTATATTTCCTTTTCAGTTTCCATTTGTGTACCACTTGGAATATTCTTCATTACTGAATTATGACGCTGATGAAATGTTGATGATTTTGTAATGAGCTCTTTTTGATCCATAATCCCATTTTTATCTGTCATTGCTAAAGATTATATAAAATGGAAGATGTCTATTATGGCTGAAGCTGTTGTTTTTTGTAACAGTTCAAGATAATATTAAAGAGAGTGGATAGAGCTTTGGGGCTTAAGCCGTTGTTTTTCGAATCCAATCACCTATTCACAGAAAGTGAATTATGGTTTTGTAATAATTCATATATTAGTGCTAGCAATTCAAAATTTTAATGCTATTATTTGTTTTGGAATATATATTTTTAGGATGCGTTCTGTTTGGTTTTTGCTCGTATTTAACTTGCACATCAATACGATTATAAGATTTTATGCCTTAAAGTATTTGTCGTTCGGTCGTCTCTATTTGCGTTTAGAAAAAATTTTTCGCTAATTTTCAGTGAGAAAAAAGATTCCGTAGTGCCAACGAAAATATTCTGGGAAGTGGTCAAATATCAAACCAAATTATTTCAAAGGTTTGGTAATTGCTTACCGTCGCGCAGAAGGTGTGCGTGTGGCACAGTGAAATAATTATGGATAGTCAAGCAGGTTCCATTGTTATGCAGCAACAGCAATCTCAAGTTCTCTCAAATGGTAATAGCAGCCAGGTAAGGCAATAACCTAATTTTTATACAGTTGTTAAATTTAATTTATTTGGGGCTATGTCTTTTTTTATTATGTTTTTTTACTATGTGTTTTTTTATTATGTGCTAGAAATCAATTCAATAGAATTTTTTTACTTCATATTTTTGTTTTTTACGTATTTGGTTAGAAACTACTTTATATGGAGGTATTGATTTCATGGCAAAGTAATGAGGATTGTAAGCGGGAGAGGGGGCTTTTTTACTTGTCTGATGCACAGGTATTTATAAATAATCATATCATAAAGACTTTTGTACTCTAGTTTCTTACTTTATTGGAAATTCAGGCCTTACTCAGTGAAATCTAATTTCGAAAGAAGTTAGTAATTTAGGAGAAAATACTTGTGAAGTGTGAGCTCCCGTTCCTACATTTTTTTCTTTTTTGGTCGTTACTAATTTGCGTGGTTTTCAACCTTAGTTACTAGATTTCGTCCTCTTTTTGATATTTGATGAAATTTTTCGGTTTCTTTAGTGGATTCCCAATTTTTCACATTTCGAGAAGTTAATGGATATGGATTTCTAAAAACCGCTAATTTTTTAGTGTTATGCTTCATCATCTATGTTGCCGTCAAATTCTCCAACGCTTGAAAATGATGGTGAAATTAAAGCAACAAACTTGATTATCAATTATTTGCCACAAAATATGACTCAAGAAGAAGTGCATGCGTTGTTTTCGACCCTTGGCGAAATTGATTCCTGCAAACTCGTACGCGACAAAGTTACTGGTTAGTACCGTCTTATGTTCTAATATACTTTCAGTTACGATGGTTGGTTTCTGTATTCCTACAAACATCTGGAGGGTCATACTGGTGCCGACATTGATTATGCCTTGTTATTAGTATGGAATCTCCAGAATGAAGGAGTTTTTGATAATAAAGAGAGAACCAATTTATTTTAGTTTTCAAATACGATTTTTTTTTGTTTTTACTGATTTTTTAAATTAAACAAAATTATCTTTTTTCTTTGCTTGGATGGGGTTCGTTTGTATTGGACTTATTTTTTTTCATTTCAAGGCACACTAAGATTTTAAATTTTTAAATTTAAAATAGAGTTTTTAAATTAAATCAATCTATATAGAATTATATATGGAATGTTTCAAATCAAGACATTTTGTATTGTGGATGAAGTTTCGGAACGTTTTATGATAATACTCACTAGTAGGATTAAACATCATCAATAATATTTCGAGTTGATCAGCAATCACTAAATGATAATGCATTTATGCAGATGGTTTTTGATTTTCGATCACAAAAAATAGGTTTTTATCGGCCCACAAAAGTTGTGCATATTTTTTATTTCTGCTAATTGCTATGAGCACGGAAAATATGGCCAAGAGATAATACTCATAACTCCAGGAATTAACTAATCTGGTAAAAAAATGAGAAAAAAGAGAAAGAAGAGGGCAAATGCAAAATTTTCTGGTTCGAATACATCCCTTATTTCATGGTAATGAATGTGGTGCAGAAGTGTTTAATGCAATCAAAATTCGTACTGTTTTTTTTTTTTTTTGAAGTATTATAATAGGGATAAAATAGCGGACTCCTTATTATTATTTATTGAATTCATTGCATCGTAAGTGTATATTTTACTAACGATTAATAGTTTATGTCGGATGGACTTTCAATTCTTTGTAGCTTGCAACCGTACAAGCTTTATAGAAGAATTTATTTCAAATCTCATGAGAAGTTCGTTAAATTAAAAGCTTCCATAATAAAATGTAGATACTTTAATTTAGAAGCCACTGACTTGAGACCAGGAAAAAACGTCACACTTTGCAAATTGAAAATAAAGTGGCAGTTCACTGCTTCCTCTTGGTTTGGCACTTGTTTCATTTCAAAGCAACTCATCGTATCGACTCTCTTCGAAGAAAATTTATTTGTTATTAACGATGATAACTAATAGCTTTCTTATTTCCTTCTCCCTCTGAGTTTTCTTCCACTTTCCATTTTCATTCTAACATGCTTTAATTAGAGCCGTTTCGTGAAAATAGCACGCTGTTTTAGTTATTTCCTTTGTTTGCTGCTAAAATTTTTTCGTGCATTTCAACTTTATATGTTCTGATTTTTTAATAGCATTTTTGTTAACTCTTACATCACTTGAATTTAATCCGCTGAGATATTATGTTTTCGCTTTACGTTTCACTGCTATTATCTTTTCAGTTTTCAATTTTTTTGTTGCCATTATCTTTTCAGTTTTCAATTTTTTAGGTCAGAGTCTTGGTTACGGTTTTGTTAATTATCTCCGTCAAGAAGATGCCTACAAGGCTGTCACTTCATTAAATGGTCTCAGGTTACAAAACAAAACCATAAAGGTTCGCTTTTCAACCGTTCTTTTATATGTGTTCCCTGATTTGCTTCATATGTTTCTTTGGGATTTTCCAAGTTTCAGTTAAAAACTTCGTTCTTTTTTTGTAACATCTATTTGTTATTGGATTGTGAAATATTTTCACTTCTGCATGGAATTCCCTCATTTCTGGAGCTTTCTAAAATTTTGAATTTCCTGTATTTGTTATTCAAATTGAAGTTAGTAAAGCCAATAGTAAACGAAGCCTGAAATGAACTCTGATACCAGCAAATTTTTGGACTCTCTGCATTTATTTTAATATATTTATAATATAATTTCTTATTTTTCTCATTTATTCATAGACATAGCTATCCGGCTCTCGTTTTAGTTCACCTGAAATATGGAAAGAAGTCAGGAAATGTGAAAAAGATGGTATTTTCGATAGAGTAATTTAATGATAGTTGTTGATTTGATGCGAAGTCATGAATATGGAAGGTGCCAGTAATGATGACGAAAGAAGTCAACATATTTATATATTCATATTTAAGGTGTCATTTGCGCGGCCGAGCAGCGAATCTATCAAAGGAGCCAATTTATATGTGAGTGGCCTGGCTAAAACGATGGGCCAACTTGATTTAGAAGCACTTTTCAAACCTTTTGGGCAGATCATCACATCACGAATCCTCTCCGATAATGTTACTGGTAATAGATAAATTACTCAGTTTTAATCTCATTGATACGTTTTCTGTGATAAGTTTGTTGCTGTATGTTATTATGAGTGATGTTGTCTTTAATATTAGGTAAATCATGCTAAGGAGAGACTTTTGCATGACAGTTTTTAATTATTGAAATCCGTTAGAGATCGGCAGAAAAATATTTTGTAGTGTCAGCTCTTCATTAACATATTCTCTTTTAAACAATTCAAGGGATATCAAAAGGTGTTGGTTTTGTGCGTTTTGATCGGAAAAGCGAAGCTGAAGATGCTATCGAAAAATTGAATGGAAAAATTCCAGCTGGTTGCACGGAACCCATAACTGTTAAATTTGCAAACAGCCCTGCAGCAAATGCCCAAAAGGCACAACTTCAGGTCTTATGCCACGATATTTTTGAAGATTTTAGAAATCTTTTTTTTTGAATGAAAATGTCCTCATAAATATCGAATAAGAAAAAGTGATATTAGGGAAATATTCAAAGATGCAGTAAAATGTCTCTGAGGACTGTGTTTCAGAAATTTAAATTTGCTTTCCAACTACTTTTAACTATGTAAGAGCAATTTTCAAGCTCTTTGAACATATGCATGGAATTTTTTTATTTTAAATTTTTCCATGTCAAAATTTCTCTTGTATCAACATGCACAATATGTTGGTATTTTGCCTTGATGTAGTTCCTAAATAATGTTCTCCACATATCAGATCTTCCCGTTTTGCATAATCCCAAAAAGTTTTTGTTTTGTTTTGTCAAGCGAATTTTTTTAGCGGACAAAGTAAATAATTCTTTACTTTCAGATAGCCCAAGCAGCATCAGCGTTAATGCCTCTTGCCCTTTTGAGTTCAATTTCTACAACATCTGGGCGTCGAATTGGTGCCGGTCCAATACACCACACACCGCAAGCAGGACGTTTCCGCTATACGCCACTAGCTGGAGCTCCTGGTACAACAACTGCAACTACAGCTACGACATCGAGTCCTGAGCTGATTACCACACAATTATTGCAAATGGCTGCTGCTACTGGTACTAATTTAAATCAAATTTGTGGAGCCTGTCATGTATTTGCATCTGCTGGATATGTTTGAAACATTTCTAGAATTCGTTGGAAAATGCAAACAAGATGAGGCATAGGTTTTGTTTTTAGGTGTCATTATATATATTCTTCTGATTAATTATACAAATAGTTTAAGTTTTAATTCTAGTAATAAGTACCTCTATGAGGAACTTCCTTTTTATCAATTTAATTGTTAACTGGAAGCTGGTTTTGGAGTGAGGCCTTAATTTTGGTTTTTTTCAAAGTATCTCGAAAATTTGAGAAAGAAGTTCAAAATTATTACGAACTCTTTTTTAGTTTCACTGAGTAGATACAGATTGTCTCGCTCTTCCTAAATATTCCGACATATCTTGGAATTATATTATTTAACTTTTGGCTCTTTATTGCAAGATTTTTAAAGAAAAGAAAGATATTCGTTATGAGACAGGTGTTTATATATTATATCATTTCATAGTATTTATAATCATATTCGAATTCTTCAGAATTTCATTTTTGTTTGAGATTTCCCAGCAATTGAGTTTAGCAATAAGTAAGTGTATCTTTCGTGTATACATGATTGAAAAAGAGAATTTTCATTCTAAAAAAACTTTGGCAAGTGAGGGTGTAATCTATTTGCAGGTACTAGCACCTCACCAGTCCAGCTTGCTGCACTAGCAAATTCGACATGTGGGAGTGTTGTTGGTACTGGATGGTGTATTTTTGTGTACAATCTTCCACCTGAAACGGAAGATGCTGTATTATGGCAACTTTTCGGACCATTTGGCGCTGTTTTAAGTGTTAAGGCAGGCATTGTTACATTAGACTGCGTACAAAATATTGTTACATTTAACTGGAGAAAAGCAGAGATCAGAGTAATATTTGGGGGTAATGAGTTCTATGATATATAGTCGTATAACGATAATAATCACGTAACAGAAAACCTGGCGTTTTCATCTTTGATTTTAATTTGTAGCGCATATTTAAGTTATTATATCAGAGTGAATTTCATTTACAGATAATAAAAGATTTTTCGACTGGAAAATGTAAAGGATATGGCTTTGTAACAATGGGACAATATGAAGATGCCGTTACAGCAATTACTTCACTGAACGGAACGCAACTGGGTAATCGAACTCTTCAGGTACTGAATTTTAGAGTTTAAAATCACAAATTTCGTCTCTCTAATGGCCTAGATTAAAACAATTATTGTTGGTAGATTTGGGAAAATGATTCAATTTTATAATTTTTTAACGAGATTCAGTAAATTAAAAGAATGTCAGTTAAAATTTAAGGTGTCTTTCAAGTGTCAAGCGGTATCGTCAGCAACCCGTAAACATTGATTTGCTTGCTCTGGTACATCATCATTACAATCTTGCCGAGAATATTGTTTGAAAAATTTTTCATGCCAAAGACACATCTTTTTCTCATATGTGATTTTTTTTCATATAAAGGCCAACTAATAATAAGCTTTGCATCACCAATTTAACGGCTGAAAATTGAATGTTTTGATTTGACATATTTTTCATTTCAATATAGAAATTACTTTTCATAGTAATTTCTATATTAAAATGAAAAATTCTACCTATGGGTCTATTATTTATTGCATTTCGGTTTGGTTCATCCTTGTTTCCTCTTTTATTGCAATTTTACTAGATTGACTGAAATTTTCTGTTTCTTAAAATTGACACATTTAGGTGGAGGGATTCAAGAATTAATAAAATTAAGTTTTCCATTAGATATTTAAGGGAATAAATTAATATTTCTGCACTCTTATCAAGTTACATGGATCGAAAAGCTGTATGGGTGGTGTGGTTAAATGTATTATGTTTGCACAAAGGCTCTGTTTGGGAATTATCGAGTATTTTTTCATTCTGCTTGTTGATGAAATTATTATGCATAAAATTCCCATCATTAGTTGACTTTTCTTAATGATATTAATTAGAATGGTATGTATTGCTGTTGTCGGCAACGATTTCGCTGCTGCCATCCATCACCATCTAAAAAATTAGTCTGCATGGGATTAGGGAGGAAATATCGAAGCAGTGGAAAAAATATTTAGATAAATATTTACATAGATCTTAAAATTTGTTAGCTGTGAAAGAATATTGAACTTTGTTAAAAATTAAATCTGTTAATAATCATTGGGAGAAAACAGTTTCTTTCCCTTTCTACATATTGCTGAAATTAGGCAACGTGCTATTTTTAGAAATCAAGCTTGTATACATTTAGATTATTTCCAACTTATATCATCATCACATCAATACATAAACGGGTGGCAGTTAGTCTGTTACAAAATGAAATGTGAGCTCTCATTGTCGTCTCATCATCTCATTCACATTGTGATAATTTTCCCAATGAAAAAAAAAAGCATCGCTGTTATTTGTAATCGTTGATGATTTAAATTGACTGATTCGTTCGTATGCATAAAATGAAAATACTCCTTTTCCACTTATTTTTTAATCACTCATTTCAGATTGTTTCCTGAAAGAGGAACAGGACACGGTTTTAGTGTTCACAAGTAATTCTTCCGTTCGTTTGTTCATTTCATTTCTGTTCGTCGGGAAATTTTCCCTACTTTAATTTAGTCAATTTTTTTCTTTTTTAGCTTTCTGTGAATTATTTTTTCAATCCACACAGCTCTCTCTCTCTCTCTCTTTTTTTAAATTTGCTTTTCCCTGTCTTTTGTTTTTTCTCATATGAATATGATTTCATTTTCCTTCTTCTTATTCTTCTTCTTCGTCAGTGTTTATTTGATTTTCTCATCCAATATTATCGTATATTTTGAAGTTTTATTTTAATCTCTGATGCATTTTTTTTTTTCAAAGAGTTAATTGTTTATTTTAGGGCTTTTGTTAGACAGACAGGATGATAACATATCTCACCGTAGTAATTGATATTATCGATTTCCCCGATAATTTTTCCCTCATTATAGATGCATCGGAGAGTTTAACAGTTATTTGGTAAGAGTGCTGTCGTTTCTTTTTTAACTCAGTTTCTTATCAACTTTTTTTTTTTTTTTTTGTAAAATGATTTCTTTTGGTTTGAATTGCAATATTTTCATTGTTTTTAAGTTGTTAAAGAAGCTCATCTGTTATCATTTATCATTTTTCTTTTTTTTATTTTGGAATGTTAAGCATGAATTATATTTTGATTTTGGAGTTTATGGATTTCCTAATTTGTTTGCACTGCGATCTGATTAAGAAAATTAAGTTAAATTTATTTTAGAAGTTACGGAAGAGCTTTTTTGATCTTATATTATTTTGCATATTATTTAAGTTTCTACTGTCTTTGTTTTTGTCCAGTAAGCGATTTATTCGTTTTATTCTTGATCTTTTTTTTTTCATTCGTTTATGTAGTTCATTTGACGTCAGTGTTAATCGTCAGCCTATAGACTTGTAGTCCACCTAACACTATCAGTATTATCTCTTTCTTTATTATTATTGCTATTATTATTATTATTTTATTATTATTACTATTATTATTATTGCTATTATTATTATTTTATTATTATTACTACTATTATTATTATTATTTTATTATTACTATTATTATTGTAATTATTATTTCAAGTCTAATATTTCTTAAACTTTCTATTGCTTTGAAGTAAATTTTATTTTTGTTTTGGTTGGTTTTTCACTCTCTATTTTATTGCGTCGCACACAATGTTGATATTTTTTTTCTGTTTCTGCTTAAATGGGAAGTGTAATCTTCAGTAGAAGGTAAGTGTGGTAATATTGTAGAAAATCTATGAGATATTCTGGAAATAACTAGATGAACATATCAGATAAAAATCAAGTAGACTGCTGTATGCATTACTCTGAACATTTGGTGTTTCTAATAGCTTTTAAAATTGCAGAAGTAGGCATTAATATATCTGAATCATAATTTATTTTATAGTTGTAGTGAAGTGAAAGTTGTTGAAAATAGGACGGAGGGATAGTGTTACAACGCTGTAGGAGGCGTTCGTTGAACTGTTTGAAGAAATGATATACACAATATCCAAAGCTATATTTTCTTAAATTATAAGGCCATTTATTCGTACTAGAACTTAATTTGGATGTTTGTAAACAAATTTTTTTAAAGAGGAAACATCCATGGGAAAACTGTGTTGGTTCTATTCTTTTTTCATTTTCTAACAATTAAAATAAGAAAAAGCAATGGGATCTAAGCACAATTTCAACTTTTATTTCCTTATGTTCAAAAATTTTCGATTGATTTTGTAAAAGTTCGATAAGAAAGTCAAATCAAACACAAAATATATATATGAGAATTGAAAAAAGGAATAAGGAATGCTATTCTGTCTTCATTCTTGATATTGTAATATGTAAAAGTGCTTGGAAGTATCGATGATGTTGTTTAAATCAATTTTACATTTTTAGCAGTCCTTATTGAGCTGCTTTTCAGTAACGAATTACTTTAAATTACTTCAAATCAGAAAGACGACGAGGAAGCAGGAGAATTGTGTGGTAACTAAAATTATTTGACAAATGCACAATGAAAAAGTATTGTCTTGATTTCCTTGGTAATATCCCTTTTTGTGTTAAGAAAATTAATGAATTTCGACAACTGGAAATAAACAGAATTAATCTGAAAGCATGTTACAATTCATTTTCTTGGAGTTAGTGTTGACAATTGATCTTTGCGATTATAACGTAATGAATTTTTGTATTTTTCGTCATTTTAAGTATTTTAATGGAAAACATATTTGCTCATTTACGTATTGCAAGATATAATTTTTTTTAAAAATAACCATAATCCAGAAAAATTTTGGGATTAAATTGATACGGTGGAAGAAAGTAATTTTCTTTTATTCAAGAAGCAAATTTTGAGGTTCATCTTTGCAACTCATCAATCTACAAATTAACAACGTTTAATTTTTGACGCAAAAATAATTAACTGAAAACTCATCACTCTACAAATTCACAACGTTTAATTTTTGACGCAAAAATAATTAGCTGAAAAAGAAAAGAAATGAGACTTCAAGCTTTGAAAATGTTTAAAAAGCAATTCATATGCAGTAACAAAAATTGGTGTCAAGGTATACTGTACGTCTGCTAGCTCACTTATTATTTACATTAAGGTCATTTTCAAATATCATTAAGTTTTCTGATATATGTGATAGTACTGCTTTTGGCATCGAAATACTTCAACTTAATTTGATAGTCTCATTTACGGCTTTAGATTATACAAATAATCAAAAATACTCTTTTAAAAATCGTAATGTATTTTCAAAAAAATAATTTCAAATTCTCTGATAGGATTGTGTGTGTGTGTGTGTACGAAGGATGAAGCTGCTTTTGAAAAAGAAATAGATAGTAGTGATTCGAATAATTTCAACAAATTTTGAAAGGGTGTTCTGGTGATTCGTAGCTACAGCACACAAAATGTATACATTCGAAAATATTATATCAATTGTTTCGTCGTTGACTAAATGCTTTCTCTCCCATAGAATGCTATGTTTTCATTCTATTCCTTTTAGTCAGTGGTAATCTAAGCTAACCAATAATATATTATAAAATCAGGTTAATGATATAAAATTTTTTGGAAATATCTAACAGTAAGCTTTTTTCTTAATTTTAATATAAAATTTTTAAAATATATCATTGAATGAAATGTTACTCTTCGATAGGAAAATTGATTGATACCTTTTTGTATTGCCAGATAACTGTAAAAGATGGTTGCAAATTTTGTATTGGCAGATAACTGTAAAAGATGGTAGCAAATTTTATATTGCCAGATAACTGTAAAAGATGGTTGCAAATTTTGTATTGCCAGATAACTGTAAAAGATGGTTGCAAATTTTGTATTGCAAGATAACTGTAAAAGATGGTAGCAAATTTTAGTGACGTATAATTCTGTAATTCTTCTAAAAATATATAGCAAATTTTTGCATCTGTAAGAAAGTTTCATGCTACTGTATTTGCCGAAAAAGATAAAAGCTTAACAAAAGAGAATGATGATACATACATATATCAAGAACTTTCCCATAGATGAATTGAATGGCCGACGATTCTCTCTGAATTGTAATTCAAATATGCCTTTAACTTTAAAAGTTTGCGATAGCTGCCTTATTCTCCTAAAGTTTTAAATTCAATGTTGTCCAAAAAATAGGAAAGGTAAAATGGGTATCAGTTCTTCAAATACGATTATTTACTTATTATTTACTCAAAAATCTGATACCTGTAAATAATGCTTAAAACATCTAAAGCATACATTTTGCGTTACAGCTTACTTTAATAAATTGTTCTAACTTCACTTCTTTTACGATTTTGCAAAATGAATTAATAATTATAAACAATTGCATTTTAGACTAATTAAAATGTTTCAGAAGGAAATTCGGAAATTATGAGAAACAAAAATAATTTTCTCCATTTTAAAAGATTGTAAGCTTCATCAACAAATCTTTTATTAGCTTATTTGTAATATTTGATTTGAAAATTCGCTAATCAAAATCATATTCCGCATTTTAGATTTGTTAGCATGAAATGGTTTTTCTAATCTCTCGCATCTATCATTTTCTCTCATGAAATCATTCCTGAGAAAATTTCATACCTGTTCGAAGAATTTTTACAAATATTATGATAAATTATCTATTTTACAGATGCAAACATAATACTGTACATTAACAGGGTCATATTATCACTAACCCAATCTTTTATCAACTTAAAATAATTTTATTAACAAAATTTCCAATCCCATTTATTCCATTCGTCTATTGTTTACATGGTAGTTTACAATATTTCTAGCAAATAAAATTATTTAAATTCAACAATGATAGAAATTTAATATTTATTACTGATAGCGACTGATAATATTTATTTACGAAATTTGCTTATTCGTTTCTCGTAATTAGATGGATTGAAAGATTACAATTAGTAATTAGTAATTAATATCATTTAAAATTATTATGATTCACTCTTCGTGACAATTATTGCTAGTATGATCGACTAACAACTGAAATATTTTCTAGTAGATTTGAAGATGATTCTTGCCATGTAGAACTGAAATAGAAAGTAAAATATAAATGATTAATTTGAAATGATTATTTTACTTCCAGAAAAGTATCAACAAATATTCCATTGGAAGAGAAAATATAAAGTGGATCAGATATTACTTATTGCTCCATGTACAAGTGTACAGTATAACAAATCAAATATTTATACTGAAATACTCGAATTCTGTCTGAATCACTGTGTTCGATTCTATTACATTTCTGTAGCTACAAAATTTCATGATATGCTGGCGCTGTATGTAATAATCTCTTACGGTATTTATTTCATCAGAATTTGCTAATCATTGTAAAAATTATTCTCAAAACTATTGGTCAATTTTTAATAGAACATATTTCTGTAATGTTATTGTATACTAACAAATTTGTTTATGATTTTATAGAAAGGTCAAAAGTCAAATAAAACGACCAAAAAAAAATAGGACTAAATAATTAAATTATATTTTATTTTTCAATTTGACCTTTCATTACGCTTTGGATGCTGGAATTATTTAATTCAGCTTACTTCCAGCAAGATCTTTCACCATCATAATGATCTCTCAATGTTATTCTTACTTTGAGATAAAATGTCCAAAATAGATTTCTAGAAAATTTTAATTAAAACTAATGTTATTTATTAATTATCACAATTCTAATTACTTTTTAGGTACACTATTTGTCATTTGATAATTAATTGCTTTAGATAAATTTTAAGCTAACAACAATTCAGACTTAAACCATTGGATTAGAAAAAAGCATCGGAATAAAATTCAAAGATTCGATTTTTGATAAATTGCTAAAAGTCGATATAACATGATATCAAATACATTCTGATCCTCTCATAGCTATAGCCACCATCATTTCATTACCTGAAGATGAAAGCATCAAACGTTCATGAAATGAGGATAAACAGTCATACTCAAACACTTATCAGCTCTTATCAATTCGTGCAAGCATTTGATAAATATGATCATACACAATTAATCTACTTCTTATCTTTCATTATCAAAAAATATCTATCGTTCTAAAATTATAATTTTTAAAAAACATTTAAATATAGTAAAAGATAATTTATAGTTACGCTAATTGCCGGTGATTCGCCAATTTATTGCTTGAGAAAAAATAGCATTAATGCTTGTTGGAATAATGGAACTTGTCTATTAACATCCAGTAAGATGATTTTCATTTTTACTTTCATGTTTCAATCAACTTTCAACCTTTCGTTACGATCTACCTTTTTTCTCATACCTGTAAATTGACAGACAGTAAACATTATTGGATTGTAAAAAATTAATGAAATTTAATGAATTAAGTGAAAAGGTAGACAATTTATCAATTTTTCAAGCAATTAATAGATTGCTAACTAATAGATTTCATTTCGATTTTCTGTAAGTTATAAAACTAAAGCTAACATTTCTTTTGTTAAAATAAAATCGAAATAATTTTTTAATTTTCAGAATCAGCAGCTTATCAGTTATGTCACAATGATGAAACATATTTTAATTGGGATTGTTATAAGATTGTTAAAGATAGAAAGACATGGTTTGAAGCAAATGAAATATGTGGAGAAGATGGCGGTAAATTTAATGCTTTTAATATTTTTAATTCGTTTCTTTCATTTCTTTAAACTTTACTCATTATCTTATTAGCTAATTAGATTTTGATTTTGTTACTTTTAATTTTGAATTTTAATGATTTTGAAATTCTTCAAAATTTACGCTAAATTTAGAATTTTATTATCTTTAATATCAGTTATATCAGTTTGGAGTGATAAAAGAGAGGTTTAAAATATGAAAATTTGTGCTTTATTCCTCAAAACAACTAATGACAAATTAGCCAAATTAAATAATATTGAACAAATTTTAAAGCTATCTGTTCTTATCAATAAAATAACACTGAATAATTCCAATCTTTCGCGATTATAGTATTGGCTTAAATAATATGCAACTATTGGAGTGCTCTCAAATTACTAAATATTTTTCTTTCTTTAGTACCAAACATTTCCCGTAAGTAAAAGTGCGATTTAACAGTTTTCATTTATTTATTATCTGATAATCTAATTTATCGATCATTTTTGATCGCTAGACAAAATGATTCCCAATAAGTGAATTTAGTAAGAGCAAAAAAAAGAAATATGAAATTACAGGTAGTTTGGTGGCGATTGAAAGCGAACTTCAACAATTGTTTGTATCGTCGTATTTGCTAACAAACCTAAAAAGAGATATTTCAGGTCCGATTTGATTTTTTTTTTAATATCGAAATAAAAAATTAGAGAGATCTCTTTTGTCTCTTTCAAATAAGTTTTGAAAAAATTTTCTNTCTACTAAATAAATGTAATATGCAATGAGATTTTCAAATTTTTGATCTTCAAATTTAATTTAACGATAAACTGCAATTTGAACACTAATTTTTGCAACAGTCTAGAATTTTGAAGATTATCTCAATTTTATCGATGAAGAACTTTTCAAGTTTTATAAAATGCCTATGTCTGATAAATTGATTGCGCATATCCGTTCAATTTTCACCTCTCTAAATCGTTGTTACTGCATAATGCATTTTGTTGTAGAAGTTTAATTTTTAATTTATGTAATTTATAAATCTCTATTGATGTTATTTTATCTGACATACACATATACACACACGTTCATCTAATGTGTCACCATTTTTCTTGTTCAACTGATTCAGGGGTCATCTGCTTTTTTCCTATTAAGAAGAAGGTTTGAATTCGACTCGTTAAAAATATCGAATTTGAACCATTTAGCTTTTCACTGTTGAAGTACTTTTCCGCTTACACGTTTAATTCGATTCCAAACTCATTATCATTCTTCTGTACAATTTAATCATTTACAAAATATTTATCCCTTACGAGATTGTCCTAATTCACTTCTTCAAACATACTAAAGTTTTATTACTGTTAGTAAAGTTGCTGCCACTGATAAAGTTTTGTTACTCAGACAAATATAATTAGTAAGGTTTTATTACTAAAGTTTCATTAATAATATACGTCCCTATAAGATCACTCCAACTCAATCTTTCAGATACACATTTTTGAACTGACTTGAGGTACCAATGATAAGTTATGTAAATGATTTCCGATGTTGTTGGAATAGTAATTATTAAGTCGGCCTTCATGCCTTTTTTGTTATGATTTCAGTCTGCCTAAAAAGTGGTACTTTTATGATATCTGCTGAAATCATTGCTATTCTCTTTATCATCAATCTTGACCTTTCATTTAATCACTTTAATTCTCTCCCCAATAAAACAAAATTCTGGAAATTAATTTCATTTCAGCATGCAATATTACTGTTTGGACTGCTGGCCATATGATGTTAAATAGTAGCAAAAAAGTTTATGCATGGACTCGAAACAATTATATGGATGAAATTGATTTCTGGGATGATCAATTACTAATGACCGACGGTATCTCGTTAGCTTATCTGTTACTTTTTATTCAAGAAATTTTATCTTCTCAATATCCTTCTTCAATTCATTTATTTTTCTTCAAGGTGGTTGCATTGAAATTGATTCACAATCGATGTTCCGTGATTGGACTCTTGTCAATTGCTCCAATTATAATTATTTTATTTGCAGTCGACCTATACGTGAGAGTAATTCCTTTTGTCTCTCTGTCCCACTCATTTACATACTTTTAATTGTTTTACCTTTTTTATTTAGAATTATATTTATTAGTTATTATAGTTCGAAACAAATTGAACAATTTAATTACCGAAGATAAGCAATTTTAGAAATGAATGAATTAGACAGTACGCAGTGTTTGTGTCGTAATGGTTACCGTGGAAGATTTTGTAATCAGTCAGCTAGCAATTTTGGTACTTTGTCATTTTAACCTCTCATTACGTGCAACTTTGAAATTTAATCGAAATAATTATACAACTTAATTATCCATATGAATCCAATCAGAAATTTTATTAAGTTTTACATGAATTTTAGAATACTTATGTAACTGTTATTCAAAGGTCATTCAGTTAATATATATCGCTCAAAAACAACAATAAAATTTTCTCTTCAAATATTTTTCCTCACATTTCGATGGTTCAGGAATTATTCAGGAAAATTATTTAAGGTATGACAACATTTGAATCACAAAGTGTTGTCTGTGTCGATAATGAATTCGAATTTTCATGTCCAAATGGCAGCTCAATATATGTTGATTTTGCTGTATATGGAAATAATGGGGTTAGTTTTTGCCGGAAAAAAATTCTAAATTCATTTCTTTTATTGCACTAGTTAAAAAGGGGGAAAAATTGGGAAGATTCAGGAATTGTTCAGGAATAGTTCAGGAACAGTTAATATTTCCAGAAAGCTGGTATCTCATTTTTACGTTTTGATTTTTAGACAAGAAACATCTTTGAAGAAAATCATGTAATTTTTTTTATTCGAGTGAATTTTTTGCTTAAAGTTTCTTTTGTTTCTTTTAATTAGTTTAGTAGAATTAAGGAAAACTTCCTTAAAATCAAAATAAATCAAATTCTTCAAATATTTATACAAACTACAAATAAATTTCACCTAAAGTGTAGCAAACAAAATAGAAGAAATGGCTATGCCACGGCGAAATCTATTAGAAAAGGCCTAGTTATCATCAATGTTATAATGGTGATAAAATTAATGATAAATTAGTGGTAAAATTATATTAGTGATAAAATTAGTGATCTCTTTTTCGTAAGAAGTATTATATATTAGGAGAAATTTATTAGGCGTATTTGAGACATTTACGCCTATTCTTGAAAGAAAAACAAATAAGAAAAACAGGTGAGATGAGAATTGAAACCCAAAATATGAAGAGAATTGTGTAAATAATATTTCTTCAATATTTTTCTGCACTATCTGTCACAAATAATATATACCTAAAAAATATTTAAAGTATTAATTAATTATTTTTCTGTTATTTTAGGAATACAACAAAATATGCTTGCCTTCTGTGCCAGCAAACTTAAATGTAACAAACTGGGAAAAATGTATTCATCCAGCCAGTCTACAAACAATGATTAGCATGTCAGTCTGCTTTTTATTTAAATTCCATTATTGTTTAATAATTGAAAGCTACTCATTAATTAACAACAATATTTCTCCAGATGTCAAGGTTTCACTTATTGTCGAATCAAAAATCTTCAATCATTATTTCCAAATAGTCCTTGTCTGCCTACAACACCAATCAGTTTGCAATATCGGATGCGATGTCTGTTTGGTTTGTCATATCACTGTTATTGATATAACTTGATAAAAATTATTTTTGCTTAAACTATTCCGTTCATATTTTCAACCACATTTCCAGAACCAATGACCATATGTCCTTCGCAAGCAATCTATCAGAATGGACGATGCTATGTCCCGTATTCAACAGAAAAATCACTTTCATTCTACGAAGCTCAAACAAAATGTCGTAAAGAAGTAAGCAATATTACAATTCGGTCAACTTTGATGAAAATTTTAGAGTAAATCTTGAAATAGCAATTAATATTTGTAAAACTTAAGGATTTTTATTATTTCAATTAATGAATCTAAGCGATTTCCACCCCCAATCTATCATACAATACATAGTATATTCTCAAATCATCAAAATATCATCTGAGCAAAAAATAACATCTCTGCTCAAAATCTATTTTTTCAAATTCAATTATATTTTAGGGTGGACAGCTGGCTTTTTCAGTTGATCAATTAGCACAAAACGAAATTGCTGTAACTGTACGAAAGCAAGTCCTTAATATTGAAAATTCTTGTTATTGGATGGATAGACCTGAAAGGTGTGTTTACAAATGTATAATCTTTCTAAAGAAATTCACAGAATTTGTAAGATACATTGAATTTGTTGGATTTTTCGTTTTATCATAAATTATTTATTTGAAAATATTCACTGCCCTCCTTTTTCATTATTGACAGATTTATTTCTTTTAGGCTGGAATACAACTCGTCCTGTGAATGTTACTGTATAACTGATAAAACTGCTTTTTGGAGTAAGAGAAGATGCAATAGCAGTCAGCAGTGGATTTGTGAATTTGCGCCAAAGACCCAATCTACTGAAACACAGCACACTATTTTTAATGGATCATCGAATATTAAAAGGTTTGTTTGGAACCTTTTTTAGATAAATTCTTTTTGGGAGAGAGTTTTGTATGGGACAGGTCGAGTTGCAGAACAGTTTCATTCGTTCTTGACATTATAATATGAGAAATCATCAGGAGTAGAATCATTTAGTGTTGATCCTTGTTTTCTGTTGATCCGGGAGAACTGTTTTTTTAGAACAAGTAATGCTGAAACTCATTCCCTTCCAGTTGGGCGATACTCGATGAAAATCGTTTCTAGTGAAGTAGATAACTGATCATTTGGTTGATGAAAATAATAGCAAAAAAAGACAAAAAGATCATTTGATAGATAAGCTGATGATAAAGCAGAAAGATTGTCTAGTCATTAAACAGATGAAACTAATAGTATACAAACGGTCATTTGGTATTGGTTATTTACAGTATTCTTTAGAATCATATATTGAGAGAATAACAAAGCATATCTTATCATTTGACTGAGAGAATATTTGATTTTTCTATAGCAAGGATTTCAGGAATACAACTTTCTATTATAAAGTTATTTGGGATTTCTAACACAGCATATAGTGACAGTACCATATGGTACCACTTGTTGTAAAGAGCTGAATTTCAATAATAGATCTTACTTTCAACATAATTATACTGCTATTGTAAGTCAACCGAACAGCTAAAAGAAACATTAATTACATTAATTAGCATTTGCTTTCAAAATATCCGACAATTTCTCAATAAATTTACATAGTTCAAAAAAGTTTCTTTTTTTTTCTTAATTATTCCATTTTAATTATCTGCCTGTATTTTACTATAATTGTCAAAGTTTGTGAATAAAAGTTTATAAATATTTATAAATAATTATCAAAGTTTGTCTGAAAAGTTTGTTGAAACCAATGAAGCCATTCATTTATTATTTTACCAAAAAGATTTTAAATATAAACTTTCTATTTTTGATAAAGAAAACTTCATTTAAGTTTACCTTCATTTTATCAATCATCGAACTGAAATGGTTAAATTTTTGAATTTAAGTATTTTGAAATTATTTAAAGAATTTTAGCATACAGAAAATTGCATATTACTAAGTTCGCATTTAATTTCTTAAATTAATTACTGAAAGAACTGTTTCTGTACTACTTATACTGTAGTACTTCGTTGATATTTCGTTGGAACGCTTTTTGATATCCAATTCTTCAAAGTATTTGAGGAAATTAAAATTTCTGAGTCAATTACTAGTTAAAAAGCAATGAATCATATCTTTTGTAGTACAGAAATTTTTTAACTAAGATATTTTAGTGATTTTTCTACCCATACGATGGAAACCAGTTTTTTTTAAACTATCCGCCCATTAATTTCCAATGTATCATTTCGTTCTTCTTTTTACAATTTTTCGGTTAACTTCAAGTAAGTTTTCTAAAATCTAATCTTGCTTTAACAATTTCCATAATCTTGATGAGAATCGTAATGGATGAATATTTCAATTGTATTTACATTGAAATTTTTGTGAAGAAATCTATTTTACCTTACAGAAACTTTTGAATATGAGACTTGTAGTTTGCATTTCTTGGAAAGCTTTGTTTCCAGACTTTAATTATACTTTAAAGCTGTAAGGTAAACGAAGTTCCACTTAATGAAATATTTTAGTGAAATCAAAATTATTAACTTTCTGCTTACTTTATATGATTATTTAATAGGATGGTTTTTATTATGATCACCGTACTACTTCTTCCTTTTTGTCTTTCTGTTTACTGCGATACTTTCATATTTGCTAGGACACAAAGCAGGTATTTTTATCTTTTTATTAATTTAATATTAAAGATGTGTCTGTTTCTTAATTTGAATTAGGCTAAGCAGGACTTTTCAGAAAAGAATAGTTTTGGGATTTTTTCTTCAAATATGAATACAAAAGAGAATAATAGGCCTAGAACAGGTATTACTAAACTATTGGTGATACGAATAGTACAGGAAATCTCAAGTATAATATTGTAATGTTATCACAGATTACTAAGAATTTTCGCCTTGTATTAATTAAAACAATTGATCGTCTGCCTATTTTTGGGATATAATTTCGTTCATAATAAATAAAAAAATAAGTGAAAAATTTTCTGCTTTCAGTGCTATAAACTATTCCGTTAACAATGGAACAAATTTCCGCAGGAAACGTTCATTCTGCGAAGAATACGAGTGGGACGGCGTTACTATTCCACGTACGTTGGCTTGTAGTGAAACACAAATACCATGTCCAGATCATGAAAATACTATTGGTAAAGAATTGTCGCATAATTTTATCTATCAAATATCATTTTCTCAATTATGACTTTTTTGCATACTGCAATCAACTTCATTGTTGGATTTTGTATGGCATCAAAGTGCTTCCAAAATTAATTTTCATAATTTATTGTAAAAATAATTTTATTGTTTTTTTTAATTGAAAGATTTATTTCTTAAAGGTGTAGCAACCCAAAAATGTGGTTGTGAATCAAACGAATGGGAAGGAAAACCGAATACGATAAATTGTACCCATAAGTGGATCGAATTGTTGGAACAATTGATAGATAGTGATGAGCCTGCGGAAAATATCAGTCGAAAATGGGCTCAATTTTTGCAAAATTCAACTAAGTAAATGTTAATTTTTCTTTTTTAAAAATAGATATACTAAGAATTATGAACTTTTGCGAAATTTTTGTTTTTTAAAATTTAAGTTACTATCAAATTTTCATTTGCGGTACTGTTTCGAAATTGATTGTTAAAAGAAAGTTAACTTAAGAGCTGCTAAATCCAAATGACCCTTCTCCTATCTTTCTGATAATTTGATTTCTGCTTCATTTTGGGAAATTGGGAAATTTTTTCAGATTATTTGGTGGTGACTTAGTGGGCAGTGTCGAAATTGGCAAGAAATTATTGACACTGGCGCATATGCAATATATATTAATGGATGAAGAGGAACAAAACGAAAGAGCTATCGAATTCACAGAAGTTTCACACAAAAATTAACAAAATTTTAATATCACTTTTTATTATTGTTTTAAAAAGTATTCATTTGTAGCATTTCAACAAAATTCAACTTTTTAAATAGAACAATAATTATTTAAATGAAGTATTATTGACAGATGTATGGTAAAGCAGGGAATGAATTATTGAGTGATCGTGCGGTAACAATTTGGATGACTTTATTGGATGATATTCGAATACATAAGATATCTTCATTGATATCAGAACTGGAGCAGAGTGTTACATTAATGGCTGATTTTACCACTAAAAAACAAAGGAAAATTGAATATAGCAATTGGGGTATGCATACCTTTTTTTAGATTTAAAATTCAATATAGAAATAAGAGTTTTGAATTCTGCATAAACTATGTTTGTGTTGTTTTTTTCAATAAAATGTTGTTCGTTAACTTTCTTGAATCTATTCCTAAATTTATAGTTCTTTCATTTTTTGAAGTTTTAAAAGAATGCTGAAATTGACGGCATTTTCATAGTAAATAATTAATAATAAGCTTTTTATAGCTTTTGAAGTACAAGTGAAAGGTCCAATTCCAGTAACAATTCAATCTAATCATGTGGATAGCAATAAAATATCACGATTAGTTCGCCGATCTCATATATTTAATACTCCATCCTTTACTAACCCAAGTACTTCTTCAATTTCTGATAATGCTACATTGAATGAACCAACTGGAAATGTTACTTTCAACTTCTCACTATCACCATTACTTTTAATGCCGCCATTAAAAATACTCCGTATGTTTATTTCCTTTTCTTTGCATAGTTTAAGATGTAACATTTTATAAGTAATTCATGTAAGATGCTAATATCATAATTGAGATAGCTTAATTTGAATATCTATTGATTCTTATTATTACTGTTTGTTTTTATTTTCAAATAATTTCATTTCTCTTTTACATCATAGAAATGAATTTAAGAAACAAAATGGGAGTTTGTTATTTTCTATAGCTTTCATTGAAATTTCAATTTGATAATAATTTTAGAGCAATCAGTGCAGGCCAAATTTGCTCAATCTACATCCGGTTTTCTTTCAATACCTGTTAGTACTATTGAAATGAAAATTTTAAAGTTATTTTAGGTCATTAAAATGCCCTTTTAAAATAATATAAAATATTCGACATTTTCAGACTTTTCAGACTTTTCAACGATCACGACTTACTCAATGGGATGAAAATTCGCTTCTTTTAACATATTATGTGTTTAGATCAGTGGGAGCATTGTTAAATACTAATAAAACTACTATTGCAAATAGTCTCGTAATTGGTAATTATTCTACAAATTTTCAAAAACTTTTCTTTTCTAAATCATACCATTAAAATGTTAAATTAAACTTTCATTGATATGTAATAAGAAATTATTTGCATTTTTTAAAAAATAATTAGATTTAAATGAAATCAAATGAAACAAATACTTATGTATTTTCCATCAATAAAAGATTTTCTGCAGATGGGATTTTCCATCAATAAAAGATTTTCTGCAGATTTTCATTGTTGTAATTTCAATTAAATATCTCAATTTTTAATTTATGATCTAACAATTATTAATTAATTATTATTTTTGAAAATCTTCATTGGATTATGTGATTTCCTGAATTTGAAATTAATTTGATATTAGATTAATATTGTCTAAAGGATACTATGGAGCACAATTTTTAACTTTAAGTTTGTGATTCTTTTGATTGGTATAATGAATTATGCGATATTTAGTTAATATAATAAATTATGCGATATTTACTCGTTTCCTATTTTTTACGAATTCCCAAAAGTGTTTTTAAAAAAGTGAGATTGTATTTAGAAAATTCAAAATATAAATAAGGCATTTTATTATAGGTGCTAGTGTAAACGATCCGATAACTTCCATTCCGTTACCTGAAAACTATCCAATTACTTTCAAATTTTATCATATTAGAACTAAAGGAGTGAGTAATCCACGATGCGTTTTTTGGGATACTTCCAAGAAGTGAATATTGGTGGTATTGTTAGTTCTGATTTACTAATTAATTTTACTTTTCATTTGATATACTTTCTATATTATTCGTTCCTTTTTCTTAAGTTGTTGACGATGAAATTAATTAAAAATTTTGCAGTAAAGGTAAAATTATTTGCAAATAAAATTCGATATAATATTTCAGAATTTGGAGTAAAGAAGGATGCAAAACATTACGCACATTAAATGATTCAACTGAATGTGCTTGTACACATTTGACCAGGTCACTATTTCAATTTTAATTTATTAATTATCTTTACATTTTATTACATTATCATCATCTTGTTCTCATTCCAGGATTCCTATTTTAAAATATAACATATCTTTATTATTATTGAAATATGCAAATGGAAAAACTGATTCAGTTGTAATTTTAGTTTTGCCATTTTGATGGATATAGCTGGATTGTATGATCATGATGATAAATTAATCGTTAATAAAATTTTAAATTTAACTACCACTATTGGTTGTATATTTTCAATTTTATGTCTATTCTTTGCTTCGATCATTTTCATATGCTTAAAGTTAGAATTTTTTGTTTTAATTTAAGATAAATAGTTTTATGCAAGATTTTTATAATGAGATATATGATAAGAACTGTACTGATAATTATTTTTTTGCTAGACATTTTACGTTGAATTGAAATACATATTAAACGATGGTGAAAATAATATGGCAATATCAATCAATAAAATATATTTATAAAAAGATAAAAAGAATTATTAAATTACAATTAAATTATGAATTAAGTAGAAATTGAGAAATTGAACAAAGTGAAATTTGAATTAAATTTAAAGTAAATAATCGATGAAGCTAAATCAACAAATCTCATTTATTACAGATCTTTATGGAATGTCCGTCATATGATTCATACTAATTTATGTTTTTGTTTAATATTGGCCGAGTTAATTTTTGTAATTGGAATAGATAGAACTGAAAATAAAATAATATGTTGTGCAATTGCTGCAGCACTTCATTATTTCTTTCTTACGGCATTTTGTTGGATGTTATTGGAAGGATATCAACTCTATTTGATGCTTGTACAGGTAATTTATTATTAATTCGTTTTTTAATTTCAATACATGTTGCTTATATTATATGTAATCAGTAAACTATTTTATTCAAAGTTTAAATTGAGGTAAGTGAAGGTTTGACACATAAACAATATCTTTGTATTTGTTATTTCTGAGGTCTTCGAAGACGAGGAAAGCAAAACTATTTTCTATTGCCTTTTTGCTTATGGCTTTCCAGCTATTATTGTTGTTGTTACCGCCGGAGTGGCCTGGTCAAATTATAGTACTGACCAATAGTAAGTTAATTATATTTACTTCTTCTTAAGACATTCGAGAGCGAAAATATATTTGCTTCCAGTTAAAAAATATTTCTGGAAGTTTGAAGAATTTGTCCATTGCAGTTGCTGGTTGAATGTTGAAACACCAACAATATGGGCTTTTGCAGGGCCTATTGCAATTGTCATCGTGGTTCGTCCTTATAAAGCATAAACTAGTACTATTAACGTTGTTTTTAATTAATACAATCCTTAATTTACATCAAAAATTAATTTTAAAAATTAAAAATCGATAAACGACATGCTCTAGAAATCGGCGATACGCTATTAAACTGTAGATTGCCAAATCCATAAAATCTTGAAAAGCAGATGGAAAGGATAAAGTAAAAAATTCATCTACTTTGGTTCACATAAATCTAATTTAAAATTTGAGCCAAATGATTGAAATAATTTGCAGTCCAATATAGTATTTCTTGGTATTGCGCTACGAATGGTACTTTCGGTGCCCAATCGTCGTCGAAACCGTATGGAACAGATGTTAGGCTGGTTGAAAGGTTCCACAGCACTTCTATGTTTATTAGGTGTCACTTGGATATTTGGTTATCTAATGGTGATCAAGGGAGCCGGAACTGTTTTCGCATATATTTTCACGATACTTAATTGCTTGCAGGTTATTTTTTTTCTTATTTATTGCATATTCTTTTTTTAGTAACTGAAAATGAATTTAATTTCTTCATCTCAACATCAAACATCTGCTTTTCCGAGATATCGATATTATATTATTTGAATTATAATCTTCGCCATTTTATTCTTTAACAATAAAACTCCATCGATTTCAAATCTCTCATTGACAAACTATAAATTTACTTTTAAACTATTCATAAAAATTTGTTTATATAAATAATCAGGCTAGCTTATGTATTTTTTCTTTTGATAATTCTTCTTTCATCTTTTTTGATAACAGCAGAACTTTTTGGCAATGCGGAAAATACAGCACTGATAAAATGAATATCTTATTAAGAAGAGCTAAATGAAATTTTGAATTTGCTCGAACAATATTTTCAAAGTTGACGTGAAAGTTTTTTAAATTAGTAATAAATGCTTTAAAATATGTCATCCTTATTAGAAGACAAATTTTCAGGGGGTATTTATCTTTGTCATTCATGTTATTTTGAATGATAAAATACGTCTGACATTATTGCGTCGTATACGAATGAATATTTGTCGCATGTCAGATACCGCAAATACGACAAGTATAGCTAGCAATCGTCAAAAATTCACTGATATAGTGAAGAATAGTGATTTATCTCGTGTTTCTTCACAACTGCCAATCGGAAGCTCTGATTTGAGAAGTTTAAAAACGAAAAAGAACGAAGGACTGTTTATGGAGAAAATATCATTACGAATAGATGGTAAATTTTAATTATTTTTCAACTAATAGTAATACTTGTGTAGGATACGGTTCAATTTTCCCATTTGATTTTTATACCTTTGTGTTTTTGTACAGGAATATTTTCTTATTGACTGGTTTCTAACACTCTCTTCATGATTGATTTTCTTGATGCGAAAATGCAGGAAAAATCTTTGATTGATAAGCCGGAGGATTCGAAAGGTCAGAACAACTGGGAATGATTGAATCATTGAATGATACTTGAGTGATAAAAACATTCTCAATATCATACACAAGTTCATTTGTTAATTGTTAATTAGAAAGGAATAGCAGTGATAACAATTCTTTATCATTACTGTTATAAAAGATTAATACAATAGTAAATGTTTCACACATCTCATGCATATAATTTTTAATGTATTATCAATTAATAAAACTCGTAATTTGAAATTTTCAGGAAAAGGAAGTCCAACAACGATGATAACTTATTTAGACTGGAAAAGAAAAGTAAGCAATGATTCTGCTAGTATTCCATCCGATGATTCTGGAAATTGTGATTACGAGAAAAAAGAGACTTTTCCAATTCGTGGCGATACTGTAGTGATTATTGATCAATCTTGGAAAAAGTCTGATATTGATAGCAAAGAAAAATCTTTTCCCATACGTCGAAAAATTATTTGCGCTGATAGTGAGGGATTTAAACAGAAACAGAAAGAATCTTCTGAACAATGAATAATTATTGAATGATTTTAAAGAATGAAAATTTGCGCTCTTCTTTTGAAATAGGTTTTTGATCAAGATAAGACTGCATAATTTTTAATTAACCCCAGGTATCTTATCTTACAAAGATTCACAATCAGTTTATCCTAAATTTTTTAAACGTTTGATTTCCTATTCTAGCACTCGACGCTCTCATTGAAATCTTATTATGAGGAAAAATATTGCTTGTGATAAATGATAATGCTAATTTATATTATCAATAATAACACGCTCGGATTATCAATGTCTCCGAAATTTTTTATCGAACCTTGCAAATGGGGAATGTTTCAGTATTTTCTTGGTGTATTTATGTTTAGATCTCGTATTTGTTTGAAGTGCTTTAAAATGCAAACTAATTAATAGATCAAAAAGACTGAACTATAAAGCGATACCAATAATTTGAATGATTTTAATTTCAATCTATTCTTCATTTCCTGATATTTGAAAAAATGTTTAAAAGAAAAACAAGCTATGAATGTAGTAAATGTGCATATCGAAGTGAACGAATGTCCATTTTAATTAATTCATTTATGGTGAAATTGTGTCTAAATGTATTTCCCAGCGATTTTCTGACTGATATTGGATGCTACTACTGGGCAGAAATAATCTAGATGATAGTTATATTAGGAGAAATCATTTGATAACTCCTTAACATAAGGGTCGTTTGATGAGCGATTGTACGATCAGTTCATTGCATAGTCACATTCAACCAGGAGAATGCTATGCTGCAGAATAATTTCGACTGAATATATTTATGCTTGTTTGATTGAATTTAAGCATCTATAAGTTGATCAGAAGATGTCACTTGAAAGGAAAAGAGCTTAAGAAATGCATTTTAAGAGATTCTTTAAAATTTAAATTCCTTTACGCTCTTTTAAAGAAGAGAAGAAGAATGGACAAATCAGTTTCTTCTCTTAATACTTCCATTGATTTTCATGTATTGTTATGCCACTAAGGCAAAACCAATTGTCCAATAATTCGATCATTCAAATTTACAAAATTAGCTTTAGGTGACAATATTTATTTTATTTCTTAACATTCAAATAAGCAATATTTTAGTTTACAATGATTTCTCATAAATTATATTGATTATTTATTTATATATATATATATACTGTTCAGTAAAGATTTCATTTATGATCGAAACTATTTCTAATTTAATTTACTACTTTATAAGATTATTGCTATTTCAATTATTTCATTAATTCTTTTTGGTGATACCCAAAATTTTGTCATTTTTTCCTCTTGGTTGAATGCAAAAATGGAATATGAGAAGAGAAAGAGTAACGGAAGTGCATGACAAACAGTAATTTGTTGGAATTCATTCAACAATGTACAACATATCCGATCATTCACTTATCCTCTCTTCTTTCTCAATACACAATTACTCATTATTTCCGTATTCAATGGAAATATATATATATATATTAAAGGTATGGCAATTATTTTCTCATTAATTTTCAATTACATTTTATCCATCCAACTGCATCATTGCTCTATAAATTTTCAACTATTCTTTGATGAAATGAAATGTAAGACTGAACAATTGTTACTTTAAGGTAATTATTATTGATTGATTTTTTTAAATATTTCATTTCGAGAAATTTCTTTATATTATAAAATTTGTGAAATATCTATAATATAAAGAAATTATAATAATTAACCTAAGAAATTATAATAATTAACCTATATATATGTAGGTTAATTATTATAACCTACATATATATAATATGAATTTGAAAAATAATAGTTACTTGGATTTTTCTACATTTCCAAAAGGAATTAAAAGGAATTAATTATTTCCAAAAGGAAGTAATTAATTATTTTGCTACTCACGAACATGCAATGACGATAACCAATTCATTATTCATTAATCTGTCAGGTAGGTCAGTCTGATTAGTTTAGGGTAAGGATGCTATATCAGCCATTATGTGCATATGACATATGTCACCATAGTTACAGTAGTTACTTCTATAATGACTTTTGTCTGTCTTAAATGCAAACAGCTACATATAATCTTAACACAGTAAATTTCCAAAAAACAAATTATGCAAAACAAAGTGTTGATAACTAACTGATAAAGATATGATAACTAACTGATAAAGATATGATAAAGATATGACTTCTGTTCACTCGAATGAGGCTAAAAAAACGATATTTTGCTTTTTGCAAGAAATCATTTAAAAAAATTATCAATTCAATTAATTAGAGAAATACGATAAGAATGACATTGATGTTGAATTTCTTCCTATTTGATATGATAAGAAGTTAATCCATTTGTTCATTATAATTTAATCGGACTTCCTTTGTCATATTCTTCTATTAATAAATAATTACATTTATAGCTCTTTTATATATTCAACAAATTGTCTGATATTGTTTGAAATCTAAAGGGAAGATAAAGATAGTAGGAAGGGATGCTGGGAAAACGCTAATAGCCGTCTATTTTATAATTCAGCCTATAATTATCGCCGTACGACTTTCGAGCATTAATTTACTACAGCCGACATCATATTTCACAATCTTATACGACCGGAGTTTTTATCAAAATATATCGTTCAATGTATATTTTGAATTCTTTTTTAATTTGTTAATTTCGAAAATTCAATCAAAGAATTGAATGAATCATTTGAAAAGTGTTAATGTATGTTAAAGAAAGTATACTATCATTAGTATTTCAATTTAATTCTGATTATGCTTTTTTTATCCATCAAATATTCCTCGTTACCTTAAATATAGTATGTAAATCCTTAAATTCATATTTTATGGCATTAATTCAGACTTTTATTTAAATTAATTTAAAATCATATTTCAGGAATAGTCTTATAATGATCCAATATATGCAAGCATTCCTTGTGGCTCTAACAGTTTTAAGGCTTTTCACGGAACTCTATCCTTTAAGAAGCATCATAAATTGGCACTTCTGTTCTAAGATTAGCAATAGGTCATGTTTCCTTAAGCGCTTAATCTTGAGTTTCACTGATTAGCAGATGGAACGTTTGTTGAAGCTACGATGCGGAATCGGTCAAAGATTGATAGAAGTGCATTTCATTCATCCTCAAGTGTCATCCATTCTTTGATGTCATGCCGCAATTGGAAAATAATTGGCAGTCATTTGTGTATTTTCGTAGTGCAATGGAAAAGTCCAAATGAGTTGAATCTAGAAAACGCTTTTCGATTTTTCGCATTTTCCATAAAGTTGAAGGATAAGATAATGGTAACTTCTGAAACTTCAATATGAATTCTAATATCATTAACAATCATTAAAATAATGCTTTTCTCTTACTCTTTCCATTATTTTGCTTAATTGTATAAATAATTGTCTACACTATAAATATCATTAAATCAAACAAGCTATCTAACTGGTAAATTTGAAATTCACTGATTACATATTAATATGTGAAAAAGCGATAAATGAAATTGTCAAGAAATTAGTACGATAAGTATCATTCCTCTATTCTACAGTGTTGAAATAACAGCCAACTGTTCACCAGACACCATTTATTAAGCATTCATCCACGCGCCTGTTAAAATTAATCAATCAGTTATCGGTAAGATTAGTATTGACATCTATCGATGACTTTGCTATCGTCGTCTTGTTGAGATAATTCGGCTTTCGCTTTAGCATTGAAGTTTGATCGTTTTCATTTGTAGCTCTTTATCAGATCAATATTGATTGCTTTACTTACTATTTAATTTAATTATTGAATTTGGTTCGAAAATTTGTTCTACAAAAATTTTTTTAATTACTTATTTATTTAATTTAATTATTGAGTTTGGTTTGAAAATTGTTCTATAAAAATTTTTATTCATCATTGTTAGATAAATTTTGCAATTTTTTATTTCTTAATGCAAAAGATTTTAACTGAAATTCTCGACAACCCATCAAATGATTCATTCGTTGGCCATGACCTTTGTAGATTTGAAACCTGAGAAGTGAAGTGAGGTGCTGTAAGATAAGGTTAACTGTTCAAGCTTGGAGAAAAAAGATGAATAGAAAGTTGTGGATGAGATGGAAGAGGTAAAAGAATGGGAAAGATAAGTACTTGATTGTAGCCACTTCAGTTGATCATAATAATAACTTGCATTGTGCACTACGACGATTGAGATATGCCAAATCATTTCTTCTTCCTATTGATGACCATTTTCCGAGTTGATCAGGTTGAGGAAATAAGCAACTAAGGTAGTGTTCGTTCTCTCCGAAAGTTCTTTGCAAACATATTTGTTCAGTTAGCTTGAGAAAAGTTTGATCTTCAATTAAAAATCGTATTCAGAGTTCATTTAAGATTATGCTTAAATTTATATCTGCACTTATGCCCAAAAATAAGCCAGAATTAGGACTTATGATTATAATTAACATTTTTGTGCCAAAGTTTGAACTTTCTTTACTTCATTTCTCATAAAGAAATTTAGGACAAGAGATTTGTTTCATCTGTTTGTATTAGAAGAGTAGAAATTCAAATTTAAGAATTTCTAAATTCTTAGTTGTCAGGAACTTCTAGAAACCCCTGCTCATTAATATGTCAAGAACTTCCAGAAACCCACTCGTTTTTTGTTGGATGTTTTAAAATTCCTAAGATTTAATATCAAAATTTTTTTTAATAACTATACAGAATTTAATTTCAGTATCGATCAAACAAGTTAAAATATTTATTAATTATATCTTATCGAATAAAATAATACAATTCTATTGCAGTTGTCAAATTTGCCCTAATTATCTTACAAATCTATATTATCGAAATCCTCCCTAAATATTAGTATAATACTAATTATCTTTCAATTTTGTTCATAAGTCTTTTTTGTGATTTTATTATAATTATAAAATAAAACTTTAATTTATTTAGTTTACTGTCCCTAATTTTAATATTTATTATTACCCTAAAATTAGTACATTATTTGCATTAATAGTGCAATAATTGTAGGAAACCAGTTTTAGAAATAAATAAAAATGGATGTAAACACTCTTCAAGACA